GCTGATGTTTGTCATAGCACAGTTGTGGCTGTGAGGATTAGCGCCGCCAGGTTGACCAAAGGTAGTGCAGAGGTCTCGGCTGCTCCTCCTGTGGCTATGGAACCTGGGGAAGCATACACAACATCAGAGTGCATACGACAGGGCTCACTAACTATATTTGTTGGAAGGCCAGGATTTTTCCAGACACACACCTTTGAGCTGGAGACTCAAAAATCACACTTTTGTCTACCATTATTATTTAAAGTTTATTTTAGAATCCAGTTGCGTGCCAGATTGCATTGAATGGATGATGTGGTAGGCCAGATTCGGGCCACTGGCCACCATTTGATGATCACTGCTATATGACATTATATTTGAAATAACAGCTGATTTGTTAAAATGGTCCAAAGTTTAAACTTTTTTTAAAATTTAAAACCCAGTAATGTGAGTACCTCACTCTGTCTCTAGATGGCACCAGTGCATTGTGCTCTTCTATTTTAACCTATATGGATAAGAACCCCAGAGAGATACGGCTTATCTGAACAGCACTAATGTTTAATAGAAGAAATACCTCATAAATAATACAGATACCAATTTATCTACAGACAGCAGCCTCCGAAGGCCCACAATGCAACTCAGCTGCAGAACATGTCGTGCTACAGTAATGTGATGAATGCCAACGTCAGTCTTCCTTGGGGGATTAGTGGAATCTGCCCTTTTATAGAAGACATCAAATTAGTAAGGCGTACGTTCTTCCAAAGCCCAGTGTATTGTTATCAGGAGGGAGATTAAGACCCTGTTCAAACCTGGTATTTAAATCCATCCTGACTGATCTGATCTCTACTCTTGGGACTGGTCTATAGGCACCTGAAGCATCCTAAAGTGTGTCCTCAGAAGGAAGTAGTTTGAGGACAGATATGACAACCGTCCCCAACATGTAGGAACTGAAGTTCTCTTGAGATACACTGTATACTCTTACGGATGACTTATACTTCACATGCCAAGTCATCAATTCACCTTTTTTAGTGAGGCTTAATGAACATTGTGTGTTTATTTGTTTAGTGAAACATGAAAAACGTGGTACACAGTTGAAGTGATTTTTTTTTTACTGCAAAGCAAAAGAAAAAAAAAGCAAAAGTGTGTTTTTTGGTGAAAAGCTCTGCTTACTTTCTGTTCATCTGGCTGTGTTTACTAGGCAGAAAGATTCATTTTGTTTATCTTGTAAGGGCAGTGATTGAGTGATGAGTCTGGAAGGCTCCAGGTTCAAGTCCACCAGCTGCCAAGTTACCACTGAGATAATTGCTCTTAACAGGGCACCGTCCCCACACACTGCTCCCCAGGCACCAAAAGCTGCCCACTGTTCACTTTGGTGATGGGTTAAAAACACAGGTCACATTTGGTTGTGTGCAGTGGTGAGCTGTGTCACAATGAGAAGGAGTTCACTTTCCTTTAGTCTTTAATATGATCCATTTATTCTATCCGTATTGTCGATGATATGTTGTTGTTGTGATGACAGTGTCAGTTTGAAGACTTTCTGTTCAGTACAGAAATATCTGTTATACTTCTGATTGAAACAGTCTTCAGTTAATAAGAAAATAAAACTGGCTTTGAGCATTCTCCTGCTTTGTGTTCTCATTCCTGTCACACACACATGCACACACACACCATGCCACACAATTTCCCACAGAGATGTGACAAGTATGTCACATTGCATTTCAGCTCATTGCATATTTATTGAAACCCAACATTCAATAAATATGCACTGCATGCTACTGAGTATTGGCAAGTACACATATAAAAATCGAAATAAACTTTTTATAAATAAAGACTGATTTAATTAGCCTTATAAGTTTTTGACTTTTCTCTGTGGAGAGGCTGAAATTTTTTTATTATTATTATCTTTTCATCATTTTTGCAAGCCAGACTGATTTTTAAAAGCTTTTGAATTCAGAGAGGATTCATTCAAATCAAATGTCGTGGTATTTAAAGGATGTGACCTCTCTTGTCTGGGCAACACATTCAACTATGACGACTTCACTCAGTTTGGATAATACTGTAGTTATTCACTTAAGACTAAACACTACAGGTTTTGTCAGTCTCCTAAATGTGGAGAGATACTTTGTTCTGGTCTCACGTGTCATGGCTGTCACACCTGCTAACTTGGGGATGGTGATCTGGCGACTGCTGCTGCCTTCACCTCCCTCACTGAAGGGCTTAATCTGGATGATGTAGTCCTCGTTCACCGGCAGCGACAACTCCAAGGAGGTGGTGTTGGTCTCAACCACGCTGGGGCTGCTGTGTTTGTCCTGGCTGTACATCACCTAAAGGGTGACACAGAGGGAGGGCCGATGAAAGTTTGACGTGTCGTCAGGACACAGCTTCCATCCTACGAGTGGCTTCTGAGAGCGAAGAATAGAAATGTATCTGAGCAACAGAAACTGATGTCTGCAGATGTAGACAGTTTCTAATAGTATGAGCAGGAAGTTCTGACGTTAAGCAGCAACATTTTGGTAAAGATAACTTCCTTTTCCATGAAGAAAATTCAATTGATGATTTGAACATTTGAACAAACGACTGTTAGATTTCTCTCACTTTTAATCTACAATACATGCTTTTTCTATTCTATTCTATACCATTCTATTTACATTTTCATAGTCATTCTACCTCGGGGTCACACAGTGAAGGGGTGGTCAGGACCTTTGCTTTACAGTGAAACAATCACCAGTTCAAGTCCTGGCAGTAACTGATGGTATTGTGTTGTGTTTACATGTTCTCTCAGAATCATATACATTTACATCATATACAATACATTTACACATACAAAATAATTTGACTCTATAAAGTGGTGCAGTATATTGAAATAAAATTATGAATAATAATTTACACTAGCTAAGATATGAAATATAAATAGTATTTACTGAACATAGTGAATAAACCTTATTTAAAGTCTGAACTGACTGACATTATAGTGTTATAATGTGAGCGGTGCTGTGGGCTGGATGGTGGTCTGTTTTTATGTGGGGGCGCTGTTCATGATCCTGTCAACAGAGGGAAGAAGATGTTCTGGGAAATAGAAAGAGGTGATGACCAGGGTGGGAGGGGTCAGCCCTGCTTCGGGGTCCTGAAGTTGTACAGGCCATGGAGGGATGGGAGATCTATATGTGAGTGTGTGTGTGTGTGTGTGTGTTTTTTCAGTTTCCTCCCACAGTCTAAATTGCCCATCGATTGGAGAGTGAATGTTAATGGTTGGACAGAGATTTACATCTGGTCAACTGTCCAGTACTGTATGTCTCTCACCCTCAGTTCAGGAGTTCCTGCTCCTCTAAACACCCTGGTGAATTGTGAACTTTAATCAGTCCCACATGCTGTTCTGTCTTACTGTCACCGCTGCAGCACAGCCCTGGAGATCATGTAGAATTATCTGTTCTGGAGGCGTCCATCTTGATTTCCATGTGAATGTGCTAGACTTGGTTTTCAACAGTTGTGGATTAACTTTCTGTGGCAGGATGCTAATATCCTTAACTAAAGAGAGGGAACGTACTGTCTACGTGCTGAACATTAGAATCACCATTAGTAAAAACGTAGAAAGTCACAAGTAATAAAAACAAACAAACAACACAGTACTGATGAAGTCAATGGACCCAGTTACAGTCTGTGTTCCACTGAACCTCATCGCCTCACTCATTCATCACAGTCTGTCTGTTCAGCTCAGATCATTTCTCTCAGAGAGGAGAGCGTAACATTTTCACCTTATATCCTGTTACTTCTGACTCATTCTCCAGAGCGTGTACTTGGTCCCACCTCAGGATGACCTTAGAGTTGGAGGTGTTCCACATTATTTTGACCGGGGCTTGACTGGGTGCTGCGGGGAGACAACAGGGGATAGGGGAAGGGGCCAAAGAGGAGCAGAAGAGAGGGAAATAACAAGCTTCTCAGTTGTTTATATCTCGTGTCCCGCAAGTACGTGCCTGTGCATGTAAATTGATAACACACAGAGAGAGGGAGACAGAGAGCAGGGGAGCTAAAGTGTGTGGTGCATATGACCAGAGAGATAAAATAAACAAAGGAAGAGAAGATGCAGAGGAGGGGATAAAGTAGTGTCTTCGAGGAGTTTTAGAACTTCTCGGCTGTTTGACCCTAATGTCACACATTACACATATCACAGCAGAACTACTAGGGCAATAAAAGCACAGAAAACATTATCTTAGAAACAAGAGAGATAAGGTAAACAATGTGAGAGAAAAAAAATCCCAGTAAAACAACAGTGTTTTATAGAATTGTGCCACACAGTGTGTTACACAACCTTAATTCAATATTATACTACTTCTGTGCAAATTATGACTCACTGATGTCAACGTGGCTTGGTTTTACATAATTTGTATGCTTTAAAGTTGGATTTTCTTCATTTACTGTTCAGAATACAAAGGCTGTGGGTTTGAATGAGACACAGAAGTAATGGAGGTTTAAGGACACAGTATGTGTTAACAGAGCTTACGTGGTTTCTTTGTGGTGACATTGACTACGATGCTCTGTGGACCCACTCCTGCACTGTTGTAGGCCTGCAGGTACATGTAGTAGGTGCTGCTGCCCTCCAGGTCCCTGATGAGCACTGAGGTTTTATTCCCCACCGTCCTGATGACCTGGGCCGTCTCCTGCTTTTCCTTCTCGCCCCAGTATCGCAACTAAGGAATACAGAACATTGGACCTTCATGGACCACTGCAGTTACTTCATTGATACGATAATTTGTTTTAAACATGCCGTAGTCACTATCCATGATGTTTCTCCTGTTACATGTGGGACTGACCTCATAGCCCAGGATGCGTCTGCGGTTGTTGCTCCAGACCATTGGCTTCCAGGTGACCTCAACCTCCGAGGCTGATAAACTTCTGACCTTCAGCCTCCCTGGGGCTCTGCTGGGCTCTGAAGGACAGAAGTACACAGTACTTCAGTACTCACACCTTCACATGTATCAGGTTTGTGGCAGATAACGGAGCAGACTTACTTTTTAAACAAAACTCAAATCTGTAAAGTTGAATATACCTTTCTTTAAAAACAACAACACTGCACACCGGTAGTCTCAGCTCAAAGTCGCTGGAACAACATTATGAACTGAAAATGAAGTAAACTCTCTCTGTGCTCAGTCCATATGCTCTTTAAAACAAATATTGAATTTTAATATCTATTCTATATCTATATCTATAAATTTTAATATCTTTTTTATTTATTTATTTATTTTTACAATTGATTGTAAATCCTTTTTACCTCTGTGGCCAGAGGTCCCTAAAATTTTATTTTACACCTTAAAACAAAAAGTGCTGACGCCACGGTTTTCATGTTACTGCAACGTAGTGGTTCCCTCAGTGCTTACATTAATTATTCATAAATTATTCATCTACAGGGCAGTTAAAACTGTGCAATGAGCAACAGCATGAAGTATCACATTACTCCCCGCATCAAACATTATCAACCCTGAGTGTGAAAATACACGTGTGGTCTATACTCCCTCCATGTTACTGGGATAAGGTGTGTGTGTACTATACAGTGTATATAAATGGCATAATTCTATCATCAACATTTCAGTGCTCTAATATACAGTTACGCTGCAGGAAAAAGGTCTGAAAGAAGTGACTATGTTTGGCTTCATCTGGCCAAAAAAAAGTTTCACTTTTTAGCCCCCACCTTCCTCTGCTGAGTAGATGGTGGTCACTGGACTGAAAGGTCCTTCTCCCCTGTTGTTGTACACCCCCACTTTGACCTCGTATGGCGTGAAAGCTGGAATACTTTCATTCTTAAACACATATCTAGAAGCATCCGGTGACGTGACTGCTGCCTGCATCCATCCTTGTGCCCCGAGTGGGCGGAAAGCTACCACGTAGCCAAAGCCGGGCCCACTCTGGAGCTCTTCAGTGACAGGCTGAGGATAAAAAGAAGAAGTGGGACTCAAGGTGAAATACATTTTAGCTCCTGGGACTTGAAATGAATGCAGTTATGGAAAAAAACGTAGTTAGAACCAAAGGCTGGGGATGTTCTTACAAACCCTGCATATATCAGCTGCTCTTCTCAAGTGGTTTTAAATTGACAAACAGCAGCAGCATCAAAACAAACTGGGAAAATACTCTGAAGTTATCATTTCTACCCAATGTCGCAGGTTGATATTGAAATAGATTTGAAGGAGTTTTTAAACTGTTAACAGATTTTCTTAGCTCTCAAAACACTGAGCATCAAACCCTCAGTCAAACCTACGGCTTTAAGAGTTGGACGAAGAAGACGTTTGATTGTACAGGAAGCATACACTACAACTACATCATTCAACACCTTTGACCTTCAAAATCAGAAATACTTTGTTGATCCCCATCATCAGTATGATTGATCACAGACACACACACAGAGACACACCTACTGAAAATTCACATTTGAATCCACATTTACCTCCCAAGTGATGACCAGCTCTGAACGCCCACCACCGCCACCGCTCACCCTGGCAGGCGTCACCCTGGGTGCTAACAGATAAACCATTGAGGTAAAAGATGTTAGAGTTTGTAAAGTGATGATGATGTTAAACATTTTAAATGTGTTGGATGCCTACTAAGTTACTTAAATACACACACACACACACGTATATATGTACTGTATATACATCATTAAGAGTATGCATATTACTACATGCATGATTTTGTATTTACTGTTGAATAAACATCATTGCATACAGTATGTGTATAGCCACAACTCAATGTGTTTTAATGCAGCGATAGGCCAGCTCCACTATAGGGTTGGACTGGAAATAACTTCCATTCCAGTCCACGTTTCATACTGTGCCAGAACTAGTGCGTGAACACCACTTCAGCACTGTTATTCTCAGCAGAGTACTTGTGACACATACATGTTTCTTTAGTGCGGGCCTTTTTCGACGGGTTGCTTGGCTCTCCTGTGCCGACGCTGTTGCTTGCCAGGACTCTGAACTCGTACTCCACCCATGGACTCAAATCAGTGACAGTGGCTGACAGCTGCTTTCCCCTGAGCAGCTCGGGAACTGAAAGACATCACAGGAACAAGGTTTCAACACAGAGCCCTGGAGGATGTACCGTGGCAACAGAGCTAAACTGCTGATGTGTTTCTGCTGTCATTACATACATGTGGGGCTTGAAAAAGAAACCAGCACTGACACCATTGTTATTATTTAATCCACTCAGTGGAGTTTATATTTAGTTACCAGTGGTAACAGCCTGCCACCCCAGAGAGAACGGTGATCTGGCCTGGATGGTGTAGCTCAGGATGGGACTGTGGTTATCTATGCCCGGCCTCCAGGACAGCGAGGCGGTGGTTTCCGTCATGTCGGTCACCTGACAGTCCACAGGTGGACCAGGGGGACCTGTAAGGATAATTTGTCAAAGTTCTCTGTCAACGGACGAAACACGGTGAAGCGGAGATTAATGAACAAAGGCAGCAGCCAAGAAGAGTGGGTGGACAACAGCTGCTGCACAACAACAGCGCCGCACACGGTGTTTGCTGAGATGAGGAGCAACATCTGGAGAACAATTGGCCTAAATATATTATTATTATTATTATTATTTCATCTAATTCTAGCAATTTCTGAACTGCTCTCTAGTTGATGTGTTTGCATAACAACTGCTAACAAATGACAAGCATTCATATACAGTATATATTTTATATATTTAGAAAAAATATATATGTATTTAAATATATATATTATATGCAAATTCTTCTTCTTCTTCTTTCGGCTTTGTCCCTTTTTTTCAGGGGTTGCCACAGCGAATCACTGATTTCCATATCTCCCTGTTCTCTGCATCTTCTACTCTCTCTCTCTCTCTATACATATATATACTGTATATATTATATGCAAATATATTTCTATATTTGTTTTATATTATAAAAATACAAAAATGTGTGTTCATATATTTAAATACAAATATATGTGCATATATATATATGCAATTATATTTGAAAATTTATATATTTGTTTTTATGTTTTTACATACACATATGTGTACGTAATAAAATGCATACTTCAGACCACAACAAAAAACCTTCTTCCTGTAAATATACCATGAATTAATCACACCCTTTAAATACAGTAACTGTAAATAAAATGCAACAGTGAAAATGAGGTGTATGCTGTATTTAATAACCGTTTAATAAGCAGCCTTAATGGAAAATGTTTTCTCACTGAATATATATGGAACTGCATCAGTATTCATTGCAAAGTATGATTAAATAGAAAATGTTTCAGTTGAAACAGTCGTCACCCCATTTTAGAGGCTCTTTTCAATAAAGTATTTTTTTCTATACAGTAATTTCATAAGCATTCATCAGTAAGTAAAAAAATAAAAAATAAAATCTACTAACCTTGAAATGTCAACATGGTTCAAGAATGAGCAGAGACCTGCTGTTAAACGTAGACATTTTACACCATGTTCATTTTCGATTTTTAAAAAAGCTACATATTATAAATCTTAAATACAAACATACATAATATACATAAAATTGTGTATTCTTATTTGCCATTTAACATCACTTCTGCGATTAGCGGTTTAATGACATCACAGGTCAAACAGTGTAAACTGTAAAACCATCACCAAGACCCACCTCGGACCACTACGTCAGTGGCTATGGACACACTGTCCACTTTGGTCTGTACGGCACAGGTATATTTCCCAGCATGCCTCAGCTGGATGTTCCTGATCATGATGTCACCGGCCGAGTGCTGTCAGTGCAGAGGATAAGGAAGGAAGAGAAGAAAAAGAAGAGCTTGTCAATTACAAGAGCAGAGAAATGAAGTACCAAACTTACAAAAGTGTGTTTTGAAGAATTGTTTCTTTTGAAATCATTACATTACGGTGAACAGGTTAAACAAAATGACGGAGGGAGAGGAGGGCGAGTGGAGATTTTCTTGATCAGTGAAGAGGACGGCTCTTTGTGAGCAGTTAAAAAGCTTCTCTCAGCTCTATCTTTTATTCACACTCAGTCCATTCAGTCTACAGACGTCCATTCAGTGACATGTAATTAGCTGTGAACTCAAATGTTAAGTTGATGTCGTATCTACAATAAGAAAGGGACAGAAGACTCGCTTCAACGTCTAATCTGGACCATGTGACAGGTTCAGGAGACACATGACTTTTCCATCTTTATTTTCACTTTAATAAGCAGTTGTACTTTCACACTTATGTTTTCTGCTGTTTTATTTTCAATAAGCTGATGTGTGGTTTTTCTTGTAGAACGCACAAGCACGTTCCTTCAAGAAATGAGCAAAACAGTGGTGACAGTGGTGTGAATACTAGTGTGAAAAATGCACCGAATCAGTGTATAATTCCATTTGTACTGTGTGTTGGATCCTAATGACCTCTCAGTGCACTCATCCACTGTACAACAAGCTGTAGGTAAAAAAAAAAAATCAACCTCATTTGAATAGGTGCTTGTAATTATTTTTCATCAAGCAAAAAGAAAAAAAATGTCTTTATTCAAAACCTCAGATTAAAAAAAGAGTTACATTTACCACAGGTTCACATCATTCTTCCTTTTAATGAAACAATTTCATTCTCTCCTGGCTCACTAGCCACACTTGAACAGGTTGAAATGGTGAAGTGTCAGAGTGAAAACTAACAGACTGGTGTTTCAAGGTTGGGTTTAAATGTGGAGTAAAAACGTTTGAAACACTGCGGAATTCTCCCCGTCACTTTGTACCAGTGTTTCTTTCAGATAACCACTAATCAACGTCATTCCTCGTGCTGTTACGTGTTGAATGGAAGTCCTATTCTAAAAGACAGACCTTTTTCTTAAATGGTTTTGAAGAGCAGCTCAAAACAATAATCCAAAAACTTTTTGTGGTCCAGGACAAAGAGGAGAAATCAAACATCAAGCTGAATACTTACCCCACCAACTTTTTCAAAGAACGCGCCGTGGCTTCCCAAGTGGATGAGCTGCTCGTTAAAGAACCAGGTGAACTTGAGGTCCAGAGTGGGGTCATGTGACACCTGGCAGGGAAGCACGATGCTCTCACCCAGAGTAACGTCCAGGTGTCCTGCTGGACTGGTGATTGTGGTGGACTCTGGACACAGGGAGTATCAAAGAAAGGCGAGGTCAGACAGGGGGTTCTTGGGTTGTTTTTGTTTTTTCTTTTACTCTGAATGCTATAAAAAAGGGTCAGGATTCAAATGATATTTAAAAAAAAAAATCTGGGGAGGGGACTGGAATAATGATGATTGTTCATGATCAATTGTCATAAATTGACAGTCCCAGATAGGAGAGATTTGGTGATGCATATCCCTCCAAGGAAAACAATGGAGAACAAACAAGCAGGAGAAAAATAAAACAACTTCAGCTATTACAGCAGCTCCACATTCAAGGCCATAATCTGCCTGTTTATTCTGGTACGGTTCTATTTCATCTTCAGTGTGTGCTGTGCATCATCACAATAGCCGTTCTGCCTCAGCTGGGCGTCTCATCCTACAGCAGTGTCGTGCGGAGAATACAGCAGAGGATGAGCGGCCCATACACCAGTCCACTTTGAATTATGCATGCATGTCATAGGCTTCTAATGGACAGGCAAGCCAATACAGCATGTCAGCGAGAGTAAAGGTTTATATTCAGCTCTGTCAAAACAAGCCAGCTTGTTTATCTCTCGCTTTTTTATCTCTCTTTCCCGCTAAGCAGAACCAACTGGTCATGGCGGTACATTCCAGGTGAGAGTCTTAGGAAAGTTTGGAGTGAAAACTTTCTGCCTGGGATTGCAGAGCTGTCATGCCTGATGCCAGTTTGCCAATACGGTGTGGAAGTAAAATCACAAATTGGCTCCCTCATTTCTGCACAGCCTGCAGTGTGCACGGCAGTTCTCATTGTGTAAAACCTATGGAATCACAGCGCTCTTCAAACAACCATAACAACAGTTTTTTTTTTCACTCCACGAATCAAGGACAGAATATTGAATTCCACTGAATTTGCACATGAATGGCACGGAACGTGTTATGCCTGGCTTCCCATTGTACATCCCCGGTTCAATCAAAGGTGGACAATTTATCTGTCGAGAGGAAAGTGGTGGTTTTTGTCAACACCTAGTAAAAAAATCTAAGGAATGATTTGTACCGAGGAAAAGCAGCTGTGATGTAATGAAAAACCGTCTCCGGCAGCAGAAACATCCCTGGGCTTATTTCAGGAAAAGGAACGTTTTTAACAAATATTCCAGCCACATGGGGGCAGCTGACTGCTATGACAGAACAGTTGCTTTACACAGAGCTGTAACACAAGGTAAAGCTCACGGCCGCTGCACAGTTGACTCTCCATCGCCACCATGTTTTCACAACTGATTTAATATTCAGTAATTTAGCAAATCTGTCTCACACAGTTCACACTGGGGAAAATGTGGCTGTAGCCGTCACCTTAAAACTTAAAATGTAATTATTATTAATTGACATATATTGCATGTGTTATGAATGCAATGAGTTGAATAAGTACAGCACATCTTCAGATCTTTCCTTCTGACTAAGCTTCTGCATGTACAGCACAGTACAATTGTTATTACATCTGCACCACAGTCCGTGTATAAAGAGTGGGCGTGGCCAGATAAAACACAAGACCTCTGTTTCAGCCAATAAGAATCAAAAGAATGGGAATCTGGTTGTGAGTAGACTTTACATAGAAAACACAAACACAAGTAAAACAGAGACACACTCATGTTGCGGCTTCTACTCTGTGAATGGAGTAGAATTTATAAATATAAAACAAAATATCTATAGTTTGCAACCCATACTCAGAGATCAGATGTCTGTAGAGGGCAGGCGTGAGTCAGGCTGCAGATTTTTTAATTAATCTGATTTCATTTTAGGCACATTTAAAGCATACAGTGGTAGCTCTAAAACAATTTATTTCTTACATTTTTGAAGACACCGCAGAAAAAACTTAACAATTCACTAAAGAACCTTGATCTTAAAATACCACCTCAATATAAATATAAAAATACATTAATATTAAAATAATAGAGCCCTATACTCTATGCAGATCCTAAACCATTCCTATCATTAACATCAGTCAAAGTCATCGGAACTCATCAGTGATGGTTAATTCAAACCATTGGTGCCCCAGGACTTTTAGATGAAATCACATTTTGACACTCTATATATCCATATAATTTTGAAGCAGTCCTACAGTTTGAGTTATCTCCACGTGCATGTCATGGTTAAAGTCTCCACAAGGTCGTTCTATATATTTATTTATTCTCTAATAAAATAGTTTTGAGACATTTGCAAGTGATGTGAAAAGCAGAGAAACCAAGCGTACCTTTAACCAGGAGGTTCCCAGCACTACTTGCGACTCCAAACTGGTTTCTGGCCACACACGTGTAGAGTCCAGCATCTGTTTTGGTCACATTGGAAATTCGCAGACTCCCATTATCCAGCACAGTGACTCTGTGGGTGGTGAAAAGAAAAAAAAAAGAAAAGAGTCGTAGAAGGCCACCACTTAGAGACAAACTTCTAATTATAACCAAAAAGCATTAAACGCTGTAGCTCCACAAAATAAATCTTTCTTTTTTAAAGCAGCGCTGATGCTGCTGAAGCAATGACAGTCTGTGAACGCTCACCTGCACAAGTGCCTCGATAAAACAAACACGTGAAATTGCGCACATAAACCAAATCCTAAATTCCATCTGCAGTCTTTAATGTTCTTCCACGACAGTTTGCTGTCATAGGAACAACACTCATCTGCAGTGTGAGGCTGTACAGTAATAACAGCAACGTCAACACCGTCCCATTTCATCCAAAAGAACAGTTTAATGGACTGCTGCTGAAGTGAGATGAGCCTCAGTCACTGTGGGTTTATGGGGATGTGGGCTGCAGTACCAGGACACCTCCAAGGACCAGTTTGTTAATCCAAGGATTTCACCTGGTCCAACCATTTTCTGTGGTTAACAAACAGGAGGTGGGGTACAAAATGAAACAAAATATTTGCCTGTAGCTCAACACACGTGGTTGGAAATCAGGACATCAGTTTGAAGTCTGGTTTTTGAGGAGGACAACCAGAACATTTCAACTCAGATTCCAGATTCCTTTTTCCAACGAGGAAGAAGGTTTTAGTTTCACTGAAGCAGCACAAGCTGAAAACACCATCTCTGTTTGTGGAGGCTTTAACTTCAGCTGAGACTCCAGTCTTCGTCCATAGAGAGACCAATCAATAATGATATGTTTTGATAGAAACTCTCAACTTGTTTTATGACCCATTGGCAAGATACTTTGCTTGACTCATATTTATAAATTTGTCATTTGAAGAAGTCGCAAATAGAATCAGGTGTTTAACATTGTTTTACTTTGCAGTTTGTGTAATTAATTGCAGTGTGTTTCTGTAGTTTACACTCAAAGTTGAGTTGTTTTAAAAACTCATAAGTTACAATTGTGTTGTTTCATGGAGGTTAGGAAGAACAGCACATGCATAAAAATGAGTGTAATCTCCAAATGTGATCCTGTCAGGGTTGATTTTTTTTTTCTTCAAACCCGTATTCTGCTGTACGGTATCTTACCGCGATGCTTTTTGTTTAAAGTCATCTATAAAATCAGAAGCTTATTTGCATTTACTTGAGGCGAAAAAACACAAGGGCAGGAATATCAAGGATGATAAAGTATACCTCGGAAATATTTTTATTTTTTCACCACCGAAAAGGCGTTTTATGCTGGTGTCAACAAGGCCTTGAATGAGCATTGGTGAAAAAACACAAACAAAAGCTTTAATTTCTCCCCATTTGGAGCAGAGTCAAGGACAACGAATAAAAGAAGGGAACGAGTGTTACTGCACACCGGTACGGTAAAACATTCACAATTGTGAAATAATTATACAGTTGATGAAACTGTAATGAAAAAAATTATTAAAAAAAAAGAAAAACAGTCCCACAGGTGTCGCACAAAGAACACGATCAATAGTCGGGTTAAGTCTTTTCATCTCTTTCATTTATTTAAATGGAAATTTTCCACTTTGTTCAAATTTCAGAGCAGGATCCTGCAGTAAAAGATGTCATGTCTAGAATACCTTTTATTTAATACTAACTTTTTCTGTTGGACACAGTTTCTCTTTTGTTATAAATGACTACTCATTTTCATATCTTCACCTGCCCAGGGTCTGGACTCTGCCACCTACTGACGGTGAGTGGATGAAAACATGTTTCCCATCTCATATTTTCAGGGAGTATTCTTACTCGTATTTCAGCGTCAAGTGTCAAGTGAATAAACGTTGAATGTCCTCTTCTAATTATAAGCGATATATCTCTTCAAAGACAGTCACGGCTGATGTGTTGTTTCGCTGCTACATCCTCCTACAGTCGTCATGCTTAAGTCAATATCAGTTGGATTTCCTCAGGTCTTTCTTGTTTGCCAACACTGAGCTCCCCAGAGAAGACACAAAAGAAGAAAAATATTCTCAGTAGAGAATAATAAAATAATGCACTTTAAAAAGTAATGCCTGAAGCTCAGAGGACAGCTGAGCCTGTTGAACTAATGTTGACAGTGTTTCTACGTTGATTGATTTGTGATTATTTTTCACAACAAAACATACATCTTAGGTCCTTCCATAATGGATTATTAGCTTGAAAGGATTTCTGTTACCAGAGGAGATTTTGCAGGCATCTTTTTGCCCTTTCAAAAAACGATAAGGTTAGTAGGTAGCAGTGGTTATGTCATCTAATTAAAAGGTCACATGAGACTAAATGAAAACTAAATAGGTTATGTTTTGCAATATATGACAATAATGAAATCTATTGATGCACGAGTCGACTGATGAAAAAAAGATAAAATAAAGAAATATGGTTGGTGGTTTCATCGCCTAAACTGGAGGAACTAAGGAGGAGCAGAGCCAATCAGAGTATTAGATCGGACAGACAGATAGATAGATAGATAGATAGATAGATTACAGTTTTCAAAAGAAACTCGGACACTACTGCGTCAAAAGCTCTATCGCAGGCAGCCTTTCTGCGTGATCACATACGGCCTGCATTGCCCCAAAGACTGGGGGAATTAAAATACATTAGCCTCTTCGACTGAGCTCACTCCCTGCAGAGCCAGAGGTACTTTCTCCTCCTCTTGAACCAGTGGCTTCCCTTAGAATGGACTATAACAAAGAGTTATGGATATGAGATGTCACAGGAATAATGCTGGCCATTAAACTGTGAAGTAGCCTGGATCAAGCCTGGATCAGGCCTAGCCAAGCGCCAGAGGAACAGTTCAGGATGAAGATACCAGCAGCTTTATCTGTCTGCCCTGCATTCACTGGGTTTTTCTTTTCCGTTAATTCCTTCCCAGGAGCGATTAGGTTTTGGGGAAATTTGTGAGATACATAAAAAACCCAGGGCGCAGTGATAACGTAAACAGGCGTTTCACCACGGCGTTATTAAGTGAGCTATAGCCCCTGTAATCTAAAACCCTGCTGCGTCTCCCTATGGTGTGACAAAAAAGGAAGAGACTGTAAATGAAAAACATAATTTAACTTAAGAAGGATTGTATAATTAACTCAGTATATTACACAGCGACTTGTAGTCTTCTTTTCCACTGACTAATTAATTCACTCTGTCTTTTCTTTTTTTTTTCTCTTGCCGGTAACTTCCTGCTGTTTTAGTAGCAGGAGGGGGTAAAAAAGACGTATACTTTGTTAAAGCACCATGTTTAGACAAAACAAAACAACGGCTGTCATTCAGTCTCTATGTAATATTACTGAGAGCTGTTTCCTACGTCTGTCCTACAGTGGTCAGCTGTGAAATCAAATTACAGTTTAGGACTTTATCGTTAGCCACGTAGCTCCTTGTACAGTAAGTGCACTGAAACCCTGTTATCCTGGTATACAGCACGTAGCAGCCACGTCAGCTCATGACGGCAGGTGCAGTATCACAACTGCATGATTTCATTAACTAATCAGATCCTGCCTTGTTCTTGGTTGATTTCTTTTTCTTTTTTACCACCACTCCACTTCCCTTAAACATTATCTCTAAAAGATTAGAGGGAATTATGGGTATTTTTAGTCAAGCCAGTGGATTTGTCTTGAGCAGATGCTGGAATAGAGAGGTGGTCCATCCAGTCCAATACAAGGGGATGGTGATGGAAATGCTAAAAAGCTAGCAGTGGAATGAGTTTGTAAAGAATAAATCTTCAAAAGTTCCCCATCTTGTATGCAGCTCGCTCACTTTGGAGCAGGGCTGTTGCACTAAATCTCAAAAGTCATCTCACCTTTATGGGCAGGACTGATAGTGCACATTGCAGTATGGATGTATTTTCCTTTCAATACTTAAGAGGATGATAAATCTGCAAGCTGGGTCCAACATTTAACAGGTCTTTGCAAAACATAATCTTGGAGCTGATTCTGCAAATAAAACATCTCTCTCTCTGTCTCCGTCTTCCTCTCTCTCTCTCTCTCTCTCTCTGTCGTAACCAGGATGCCTCAGTCTGGCTATTATGGTCTGCATTAAAAAGTCCCAACTCATTTCAAGTTCACCGCAGCACACTGTGTGACACAGCCACTGTGGGAGGACGACACATGTCACTGCATGTGCCAGCAGGGGCGCCTGTCCTCCTGCTGCTGTATTCCAGCAGGAAATAGACACAGTTTGAAAAAAAAAGAGGGAGAAATACGTCAATGACTAATTCCTGCAGGTCACATCATTTTGTTAGTCGTTATGGAGAACATGTGACTCATAAAAATGTTTAGACTCTGTAGAAGAAGCCGCTCCGACTGTGGTCTTAAAACTCCCAGTCCTGTTATTTTGAAGGTATTTTTTGATGTCACTATAACAAAAAAGCTAAAGTAGACATCAGTACATCAGTACACACCAGGGGTCACCAATCATAGAATTTTTCAGGGCACCTTGGGGCCAGACATTCAAATAAAATGAAATAAACATCATATTATCTATCTATATTATTTGATATTAAATGTTTATATTTATATTTTATTACAAAACTGAGGGCATTTTTAGCCTTAGGGGACCAGACCATATTTGTTATCAATTTGGATTCTTCTTTCGGTGAGCCTGATTTGGCCCACGAGCCACCAGCTGATCATCACTGCTACTGTATATAGTGTCGTGCACTACAGTTAGATTTTCTTGTTTTTCTAACTGTACTTAGCAAATTAGATACAATTGGGTTATAAACTGTGTTATTTACCAGTGGGAAAATCACCCAGTAGGTGGCAGTAATACATATCTTTTGCTGTTTGTAAATCCAAAAGTAGAAAATGTGTAAGCAAAATTAGCCTAGCCTAGCCTGGCCATTGTTTTTGTAGAAAAACCTTATAATTACGAGGCGTGAATGAAGGCGTTAAGTTAATGTTTTGCTGCGAGAACAGTGGTTGGCTGTCATGTCTGACCGGTCATCAAGTGTTGAAGAAGATACTGTAGTTTCCAACCTTATATCATGATAAGTTTTTATTTTTTGTGCTTTATTGTTTCTCTCACACGAGGTGTCCTGTGGTCGCTTTCTGATTCATGTTTTTTTTTTTGTATACACAAGATAATGTGTCCTTAACCAAACACCAAATGTCAAAAAACAGTCTGAGGCTAAAACAGTAACAGTGCCAGCCTTCCTCTTATATCAGCAGAAGAACTGCTTTTATTTACTCATTTCCACCGACTTTCTTTTTCTTTTCCTCTCCAGCAAACAGAGGCATTGCATTGATCTGTACTTAACCTGATTTCTAATAAAACAAGGTGTCGGCCTGGATCCCCTGGTGCCACCACTAGCATCTGAGATGAATATGTTCTGGTCAGCAACCAGTGGCTGATCAGTCCTTTTGGGGATTTCATCTGCTTCTTTATCGTCTCAGCACTAGTCTGGATTCATCCTCCTGCCTGCTCTCTAATGACCCTGCAGGCCTTACATGCTGGTAATGAGCTGATGGATCAGTGCATCGATCCAAGTGCTGCAGACTAGGAACAACCAATTACCTTAAGTAAACAGAGACATGCTCTGAGGAGAATCAGGAGAGGGCAGTACTATGGAGTTCAGTGAAGACTTGTAGACACACAAGTGATGGAATTACAACATGTTACACAGTTTAGGTTGTTGTTACCTTACACCTGTGGTTTTCAAACTTTTCCACCACAGCGCCCCCCTTTTGTGGATAGGACTACTACTACAGCACGCCACTGCCTACAACCAAATGCGACCTCTGTTTGTAACCCATCACCAAAGTCAGCAGGGGGCAGCTTTAAGTGTAAAGCTGCCCCCTGCCCCCACCCGGCCCCCAGTGGGTGGGGAGGGTGGCATGCTCAGAGCACCTCCGTGGTACCTTGGCAGCTGGTGGACTCGAACATGACGCCTTCCTTAACCACTGAGCCTCCACTGCACCACTGCCCAGAAGAGCTGGGCTCTCACACTGACAAACACCACGTAGTGCTGTCTATACATGCTCCACATAGAGGAACCTGGTACCTGTGACTCTCTCTCAGGGCTTCTTTCCCTTTTCTCCAAGATATCACTCCACGTGGAGACATTCTTGGCCTGCATTCAATGAGGATGTCGCCACCGAGTCGAGCCATGGTTTGGGCCTTCAGCAGATTCTGGGTGAAGTCCGGAGCAATTGCTAAAAAAGGGGAAAGACAAAAAATGTACAGTAAGTATTGTAAACGATACGGCATTATTCAAAGATGGAGCGTTCGTAACATTTCTCCTACTTCGAACAGTCTTACAGGAAATATATTCCACATACCACACATATACATTATTTAGATCTTTCCCCCCCTGTAACTATCTTAGAAGGACATCACATAGCAATAGCAATCAAGTCCTGGCTCTCAAAAGAAATAAGGAAAAAATGTAAAATGAGCGGGAGGTTCTCTTTCTGCTCCTTTAGGCCTTAATTACTAAGGCGCTGGCGTCTGGAGCTGTTTTGTATGCGCACCAACTCAGCAGAAAGCCCTTCAAAGTGAACGCACAGCCTGGCGTCTGTGACATGTCTGAGCACCTGCCAAAGCATGCTGCTGTGTGTGTGTGTGCATGCAAATACAGCAACATGCAGCGAGCGAGACATGTGTTTGTACGAGCCTGACTCTTTATATTTATATGTGAGAACATAAAAAAAGGGAACAAGCACAATTCTAACTGTTGAAAACACAGAGGCAGGACGTGGAGAGCTTCAGGCGTCATTGCATTTAAAGGACGAGAGGTGTAAAGTAATCTACTGGCAATACTTCTCCTGGTCCGACTATACGCTGCAATAACAGGCAATTTGAATATAATAAGTTGTGCGGTTGGACGGGGACTGGCTGGCTAGTATTCAAACCACTATTGAAGGGGAGTGGTGATAGATATGTAGCACAAAAAAAGGAAGCAAATCTCATGTTAACATGGCTGTTTATTTCTGAAACAGATGGTGAAAGTAATGATGTTTGAGCGTCAGCTAACACCAAGTTAACAGCTGTGGAAGCTACTGCCGCCGTAGCAACAGTACAGACAGAGCGCAGCCCCATTAAAGTGGCTATATACTTGATTGTTGTTTGGCTTTAGCATTATTCAACACAATCATTATGAAGTACGCGTTAATTGCGCAATTTACCGGCTAGTAAATTTTCCGTTTGCCACTAGGGGGGAATTTCACAAGAAAATAAAAGTGCAGCACACAGTATGATGGGAATATTTATGTATATTTCCATCCCACCTAGAAATGAGAGTATGAAAAAAGGGTTTTTATATTTTCCCTCATGGAGTTTAACACAAGCAGTGGAAGATGAGGAGGAGAGGAAAAAGTTTTTTACTCAACTTGACTCTAAAACTTATCTTAGCTAACGGCTTATCGTTCCTTCCTTTACTTTTTTG